TCCTTCCTTGCTTGGAGCAAACCTGCTTGTGCTGCTGCAATCACTGAACAATCACTGATATCACATTCACATAGAGTTTTGCCTTTATTTACTAGAAGAAGATCTGTCTAAAGGGTATCCTCCCCCCCAATGAGACAGAATGTCCGGCTTCGGCTTGGCATAGGGAAAAAGGCCTTTTGGCCATACCAAAAAGTCCCCGTTTGCCTTTAGTTATACTTTGAGGTAAACGTTTTTCGTGTGGTGTTTTGATTGTCTTTTTTGCGGACAACGGGTTTTTTGATATAGTTGCATGGTAGTAGTGCTTACAGTGTCTAAAACTGAGTATGTTATTTTGAAATTGAATGGATTCCTGTCATCATCTAACGCAGGGTTATTGAATTAAAAGTCAAGGAGGTCTAGTCACTAAAAGTTTCTTCTGGCTGACTCCTGAATAGGGTGTGCCCATCAGCATGCCCCCTTACATTACGTGTCACCCTCAGAGTGCAACTTTACATCATGTATTCTCATCACATCAGGTGTGCCATTCAGAATGCTCCTTTACATCAGTTGTCCCCATCAGAGTACCCCTTTACATCAGGTATCCTCCATCATAATGCCACCTTACACTCAAAGTACCCCTTTCCGTAATATATCCCCATCAGAGTGCCCCTTTACATCATATTCCCCATCAGAATGCCCCTTTCCATCACATGTGTCAATCAGACTGCCCTTTTCCATCACATGTGCCCATCAGTGCTGCTTTCCACAGTATTGCTCATTTGTGCCCCCTTAACATAACATGCCCATCAGAGTGCCCCTTAACATAAAATGGGCCCATTAGAGTGTCCCTTAACATAAAATGGGCCCAACAGAGTGCCCCTTAACATAAAAGGGGCACTCTGATGGGTACTTTTTATGTTAAGGGGCACTCTGATGAGCACATTTTATACTAAGGGGCACTCTGATGGGTACATTCTATGGGGCACTCTGATGGGTACATTCTATGTTGTGCCCAACAAAGTGCACCTTAACATTAAATGTGCCCATCAGCATGACCCTTTAAAAATAAATGTGCCCATAAGAGTGCCCCTGTAAGACCACACCCTACCTTGAGGGCAGACAAGAGCAAGGGGCAGGGCGCACACGTGATGTTGTCGGTTGCCGTGACGATTGCCCTGCTGAGCGGTGGATCTGTCATTAAAGTCTGGCGAGCTGGAGGTCCATAAGGGAGTGCTTCTCGGCTGTTCTTGGACCGCGGTCCTCCATTTAGTGACTGCTGACCTAACGCCTCATGTAGAGGGATCTAGAGCACAGAACACTTTTATGTTTGTGACTACTGACCTTGCAGCTACTTGTTTTCTGCACCAGTCTCCTGCTGTTCTCAGTGATTGGTCTGCTTGAGCAGAATGCTGGTAGTTCATCAAGGCTGCAGTGTTTACTTCAAAGCATAGGTAAATCAATGATTGCTTTCACCTGGAATACCTCACTTTCTCTTAAATTGTACCTAAATTCAAGAACAAAAATGTAATATATTGCATCTTGCTTTATACATGGGTTTAAATTTAACTGTTTCAGCAGGGACCAGCTGAATTTCAATCCATGTATGGGCAGGGAGGTTGTACTAAAATCAATCTACCAATCAACTTCTGCACAACTGCCCTGTCGGATTTTCTCTGCTTGATCAGTGCTGCAGGCTATAGGCTGGAACTCTCATCAATGTTTTCTGATGGCGGGGAAGTCTCGCCATCAGAAAACATCAGAAGTCTCGCCATCTGCTGTCAGAATACAATAGATCAACGGGGAGGATTTCCTCCTCTACCTCAAATGTGTAAATTGGGGAATCGAGTCAGTTTTTTTTATCCAACCCGCTTGTCGAACTAAATAAACTGATCCTCTAATGGCTGCCTTAAGCCCCGTACGCATGGCCCAAATATTGTGTGTACACGAGTGCTGGCAGCTAATGGCACTAACTAGGGGACAATCCCCCTGTCAGAACACAATAGCCCAGTGGGCAGAATGCTGTACTAACATCGGATAGTTAGTACAGCGAACTCCCTCACAAGCTCTTCGGTTTTTTTTTCGTTCAGCCTGCTTGGTTGAACAAAACAGTGATAGTGTTTACCCAGCATAAGATGAGGTAGCTACATGAGTTTTCTTTGCTCAAGTTTTTTTTTTCCCTTTATTTTCACCTGGTTATGATGCCAGAAATACACTTCCATTCCTAGGGTGGCAATGCTCACCCACCATAGTATATCTATCTATAGAGAAGCATTGTTGTCCCTTTAGAAGAAGACTACAAACCTCCTTCACTCTTTTTTCTCTATAACAAGAGGAGGGGGAGGGATTCTGCAATCCTCAGAGATAGATGGAAACAATGTTGGAAACAGGCGCTTCGGAAATTGGCCAGGGCCTGGGGCACAAGTTTTCCAAGCACACATCCGTTGCGACTAATAATAATCCTCTTTTGATACAGAACACTTTCTAAAAATTATATAGTTAGAGTCCTATAGGAAGCTTTCCATTTCTTATCCAGACCCTGATGAAGGGGTATTGTTTGTCCCCTGACTACCTTTTATCTTCCTGATGATTGATTTTTTTTATCTACAATAAATGTTTATGGATTCATAAAACGACCATCTGGCAATCTTTTTATTCATTCAATAATGCAGCACAAGTTGAGATCACAGAAAATTATCAGTTGACAAGGTTTTGTGGCTGGATCAGTTGGTGTTTTTGCACTTTTCAAACACATACAGTACTGTGCAACAATTATAGGCAGTTGTGAAAAAATTCTGTAAATGAAGAATGCTTTCAGAAATGAAAGTGCTAATAGTTTATTTTTAGCAAATAACAAAATGGAAAGTAAATGAACAGAAGAGAAACCCATATCAAATCAATATTTAGTGTGATCATCCTTGGCCTTCAAAACGGCATCAATTCTTCTAGGTACACTTGCACATAGTTTTTGAAGGAACTCAGCAGATAGATTGTTCCAAACATCTTGGAGAACTAACCACAGATCTTCTGTGGAAGTAGGCTGCCTCAAATCCTTCTGTCTCTTCATGTTATCCTAGACAGACTCAATGATGTTGAGATCAGTGCTCTGTGGGAGCCAATAATGTTCTTAATGACATTGGCTGTATGTTTGGGGTCGGCCTGCTGCAAAATAAATTTGGGGCCAATCACACACCTCCCTGATGGTATAGCAGGGTGGATAAGTATTTGCCTGTATTTCTCAGCATTGAGGACACCATTGACCTGACCAAATCTCCAACTCTATTTGCAGAAATGCAGCCCCAAACTTGCAAGGAACCTTCACCATGCTTCACTGTTGCTTGCAGACACTCATTATCGCACCACTCTCCAGCCCTTCGGTGAACAAACTGCCTCCTGCTACAGCAAAATATCTAAAATTTTGACTAATCAGTCCAGAGAGCCTGCTGTCACTTTTCTGAACCCCAGTTCCTATGTTTTCATGCATAGTGGTGTCTCTTAGCTTTGTTTCCACATCAGAGGTATTCTTCCATGAAGACCGCTTCTGGCCAGACTTCTGGTATACCTTGTTCCTACTGATTTCTGCCAGTTCTGTGCTAATGGCAATGCTGGACATCTTCTGATGTCGAAAGGAGGTAAACCTGATGGGGTTTATTTACCAAAGCTGGAGAGTCCAAAATCAGAATCCCTTCTGCATAGAAACCAATCAGCTTCCAGGTTTCATTGCCAAAGCTTCATTGAACAAGCTGAGGTTAGAAGCTGATTGGTTTCTATGCAGAAGGGAGTCTGATTTTGGACTCTCCAGCTTTAGTAAATAAACCCCGATGTGTCTTTCATCTGCTGCATTAAGTTTCCTTGGCCAATCACTGTCTACGGTCCTCAGCATTGCTTGTTTCTTTGTGCTTCTTCAAAAGAACTTGATGAGTTGAACTGATGCTGGTTTGAAGCCAAAAGGATAGCCACACCAAAGATTTATTTGATTTAGATTTTTCTTGTGTTTGCTCACTTTGGATTTTGTAAATTGATAAAAAATAATTAAAATACATATTTTTGAAAGCATGCTTTCTAAATGTTTGCACAGTACTGTATATCAAAATGATTTCAATAGTAAATTTAAAGGGCCAAAAGGAAACAATTAAAGATGTTCATTGTTAATGTCTATTAAAAGAAACTTGTGCTGAGGGACTACAGAGCCTTCTATTGCTGACCCTTCCTTAAAATGCTATTTGCCAGACTGTCTTCCTGATCCACTGACTTTAGTACTCTCTAAATGTCCAACTGGGAAGAAGTATGTACTTTAGGAGTTTTGATTTCACCTGGTGCATACTTGTCTTGGGTCAGTGACTCAAAGTGTTGAGGCTGGAGAACAACCAGGCAACTAGTATTTTTAGAAGGAGATGATCATTGTCAGCCTTCTGTCAGTTAAATGCCTCTTACTCTTCAGTGTGATGCAGCAAGCTTTGTGCTATTGCACACAGATAACCATGGTATAATCTACCCTAAACAGTATGCCACTGAGATGAAAAATATTATTGAATGGTACCGAAGAATTGATTACAAACTAACGTATATGGCCATCGTGAGCTCTGCATGCTCTGCCATGTACTAATATTTTAAAATAACTGACAGTGCAGCTGTTCCAGTGTTTAAATGACATACGTGCTGATTGAACCTCAACCAATGTCTTTAGATAAAATTAGCAGAGGTCTCAAATTACTTTAAAATCTGTGCCCCACTCATTGATAGACATAGTTTACAATACATTTCTTCACTGAAATTGGTTATATACTGTATATAGCAATTGTGGCAACCAACTCCACCTGATATTGTAGTTTATAGGCAAATTGCAAAATGACCATTTTAGGATAATAACTGGCCTATAGGCATCTTAACATACATAATTTTGTCAATTTCTCTGACTGATGTATTTATATACACTATATTACAAAGAGTATTGGGACACCGCTCCAAATCATTGGATTCAGGTGTTCCAATAACCTCCATGGCCACAGGTGTATAAAATCAAGCACCTAGGCATGCAGACTGCTTCTACAAACATTTTTGTGAAAGAATGGGTCGCTCTCAGGAGCTCAGTGAATCAAGCGTGGTACCGTGATAGGTTGCCACCTGTGCAATAAGTCCATGTGTGAAATTTCCTTGCTACTAAGTATTCCACAGTCAACTAATAGTGGTATTATAGCAAAGTGGAAGCAACTGGGAACAACTACAACTCAGCCACGAAGTGGTAGACCAAGTACAATGAAAGAGCGAGGTCAGCACATGCTGAAGCACACGTTACACAGAAATCGCCAACTGTCTGCAGAGTCAATAGCTAAAAACCTCCAAACTTCGTGTGGCCTTCAGATTAGCACAACAGTGTGTAGAGAGCTTCATGGAATGGGTTTCCATGGCCGAGCAGCTGCATCCAAGCCTTACATCACCAAGTGCAATGCAAAGCATTGGATGCAGTGGTGTAAAGCAGGCCACCACTGGACTCTAGAGCAGTGGAGACATGTTCTCTGGAGTGACGAATCGCGCTTCTCTGTCTGGCAATCCAATGGACATGTCTGGGTTTGGTGGTTGCCAGGAGAAGGGTACTTGCCTGACTTGATTGTGCCAAGTGTAAAGTTTTGTGGAGGGGGGATTATGGTGTGGGGTTGGTTTGCAGGGCTTGGGCTTGGCCCCTTAGTTCCAGTGAAGGGAGCTTTTAAGATGTCAGCTTACCAAGACATTTTCATGCTCCCAACGTTGTAGGAACAGTTTGGGGATGGCTCCTTCCTGTTCCAACTTGACTGCGCACAAGTGCACAAAGCAAGGTCCATGGATGAGTGAGTTTAGGGTGGAGGAACTTGACTGGCTTGCACAGAGTCTTGACCTCAATTCAATAGAACACCTTTGGGATGAATTAGAGCCAAGACTGCGAGCCAGGCCTTCTCGTGTGACATCAGTGCCTGACCTCACAAATGGAAGAATGGTCAAACATTCCCATAGACACACTCCTAAACCTTGTGGACAGCCTTCCCAGAAGAGTTGAAGCTGTTAAAGCTGCAAAGGTGGGCCAACTCAATATTGAACATTACGGACTAAGGCTGGGATGCTATTAAAGTTCATGTGCGTGTAAAGGCAGGTGTCCCAATACTTTTGGCAATATAGTGTATATTCAATCTACCTGGGCAAAAAGTGTATGATCTCAACAGTTTACAACTTCTCAGAACTAAAGCTGACCATAGATGAGTAGAAAATAATTAAAAAATGTGTTTGACAGATCTTTATCAAATTCAAACTAGTGTGTGATAATGCCATCATCGATGCAAATCCCCCCTCCCTCCCATTTGTCGACATATTGTTGTTTGTGCACAACACAAAAGGTACATTTTTTTTGTCAATTGATTACAGGATAAACACTCATTCTCCTGTGCACCACTATTTATTGTGATATTCTTGATCAGTTCCACTACTCACGCTTTGAAAATCATTCACTCATACTAAAAAATTCCAACATGATTGTCATAAATCTTTGCATTTTGAGACTCTATGAGCCCACTAACATTTAGAAAGTCGAACAATTGGGCATTTCAAACAAAATTTTAAATCATTCTACTTATCTATGGCCAGCTTAAGATTTTAGAGTGTAGATGGAAATACTAATGCAATGCAGCAACTTTGTACACAAATTGCCCAATATACAGTACATTGCAAATTTGTATGCCAATGGAGAAGATACAGGAAGAAGAGAAAATGAAATCTAACTTGTACAATTGCTTGTTCACCCAAAGAACAGCCAACTATCAGAGTCTGCAAATATACATTTTAATCATATCAGGCAATTATCATCTCATCTCTGTAATTACACATAAAGCAAACAGTACAGAATCTTGTTATAGGAAACCTTGCATAACTCAATATGCTTAGTGTTAGTAGAAGTTATCTTTTCTTAGCTGTGATGCTGTAACTGCATAAACCTGCAGATAAGTGACTTACAGTATATTAATTAAAACTTATTTTAGAGAAGGAATGTCATTTATGTCACCTAAAATAAAGTTTGAACATTTTCTATACTAGAAAGACTAATGCTTATGGTTCTTTTGCAAGTAACTTAATTAGAGATTGTAAGAACATATTCAAAATCATGTAAACTTACAAGAGCCAACAGAAACAGGAGAAAAAAAGATAAGGCATTGATAAAAAAAAAAATTGTAGCTTACACATTCCCCTCACCTTTCTGTGGTTTGGTGCCTGCTCTTTTTGTGATATGAAAGTGAGAATAAATTCAAGTCAAGTAAAATAAGCCCTGAGGATGTGAATGCGCACAAAACGCTTCGGATGGAGCCACCATTTGCTGATGTCACACCGCCGCTGCCGAAGGATGGAGCTGTGGCCATCTTGGTACATTTTTATTCTTGTGAATTTCTTTGTTTCCACGTGGATATCTTTTACATTTGACATAAAATACTACAATATCTGCAACTTTATTGGCTCCTGTGGTGAGCTATTCCCCTTAGGACAAGGGCTGACTTCCTATCCAAGTACCCAGGATGGATTAGTCCGGTTTTAACCCCTTGGCTGCCTTCCATTCCCAGATGTGTTATGCTTGATTACCTGCTAGCAATTTTCATCTGGTGAGTGTACATCTGAGAGAGGTGGTGGATTCTCTTGTGAGATCATCAACACATTTTCACTCTGCACCTTAATTATATCGCACCTTATGTTTTTATGGACATTTGCTTGTTATTTATGGATATTTGGCTATAAGATTAACACATTCAACCATGGACATTGATATAGCATTTTCTAGTATACATATCCTAATTTCAGTATATCCATTTTATTATTGTCATTTTAGTGCACTTTATTTCACGGAGTACCACCAACATCATTGCAATAATATTTTGTCTATTATGCACTTTACTTAATTGTTCGATCTTTAGAATTTATATTTACTGATGTTTTTGGCACTTTTATGTGTTGCACTTTACTATTCTGCATTGTTTTACTTACATTTTAGCGCTGCATTTTTTCACATATGTAAAATAACCAAGATATTATAAATAAAATTAAGCAAATGTAATACTTCTGCTTGCACAACCCAGTGACCCTCTGTTAAAGTGAAATCTCTAGCTAAATTTTTCTGGGAAACAAACACTACAGGAGCGTTGATCCAGTGACACTCAGTGGCTGACCTGCACATCAACAATGAGTTCTGCAGTGGCATGGATTTTAGCAGGAGGAGATAGTGAGCACAGCAGAGGACCAAGGAGTATTAACTAGTAAAAATAGGCTTGAAAAAAGCCCTTCTCTGTCTTCTGTAGCTGCAGGTACTGTGGATCAATAATCAACAAAGTTCACAACAGAAGCACTAAAGTTGTTCTCTCTGACAGTTTAGCTCACTCTGTTCCCCCATTCCAGAGCACCTGCTGTGTGTTTACATAAGAGATCAGAAGGCTGCAGTGCTATTAAGTCACTATTGGGAGGGGGTAGAAGGGTGAACTAAGCTGCTGAGAGATCAACAGCCATGTTTCTGCCATGAACTTTGAGGATGCATTGCTCCACAGTGCCTGAATCTAGTGGTGCCATTGATTATTTGTTTTAAATCTCACTTACTGCTTGTTAAGAATATACAGTATATATATTTTAGCTTTGACAGCCTGGCCACAAGTTCATTCTAAGTGGTAAGAACTGCCTTTATTATTGGTTTTTGTAAGCAGTAATAAGGATTCAGAAGCAATCTAGCAAATATGTTATAGTTTACTGTAAAGGGTATATTTTTACAAAATTAAATACATAAATATTTATAAAATTATGAATATCTAGAATATTTCGTATATGAGGTTATCCTTGCATACAGGTGTGTTACCTTTACCAGAAGTTGTGAAGATCATCATGGGACATTTGCAAAATGAGTCGTGACACAAGTCTTTAGTGTTACTATTTTCCAAATGTAAGTGATGACATCTATGCTCTTTGAAAAGTACTGTCATCACTAGTTATATGTTATGCTTTTCTTACCATTGATGTCAAAACAAAAAAATCAAAATATAGGGATACTATGAGTATAGAATACAGATTTATGCTAAAAAAATGTAAAAATCTATTTTTTGCATATTTCTGTATTTCATACTTGTGTTTATAATAGCACCGACATACAGGTATACACAAGTACAGCAATGCACAGCCATTCATGTCAAAAAAAGGTTGTATGCCTGAGTGGTGGAAATACACCAGCAATTACGCTGAAGGGGCTAAGCTGACCCGTGTGCAAAAGCCCTTATTCATCAAGGCAGCAAACAAACTCACTGGCTCACTGAAGGAGTACATCTGCTCGTCTGTGCCACTAACTGAACTAAAGCTGGCCACACATGGGTCCGTTTTTTTAGTCAACCAGCGGGTTAAATGAAAACAAAATGACCCAATTTCCCCATCCACACATTCATTGTGGATGTTGGAATCCTCCGTGCTGTGTTATGGTATTCTGACAGCAGGATTTCCCAGTCGTCAGAATACACAGATCAGCGTCAAAGCCTATTGGATGCATGCACTGATCAAGCAGGAAATTACCAACAAGTTGGTTCCTGAGAAGTCGATCAATAGATCGACTTCTCATAGATGGGTACGACCATGTATGCCAGCTTTACGTTAGTACCAGACTAACAGTGTGGTTTCTAATGGGTTCCGAAAACAAATAGGCTACTCTTTTGAATGTTTATTCAGGAGCGAAGAACAGGCTCTCACTGTGGAGAGCATCAGTAAGCTCACATATAAGATCTGGCTTACTGTAAGATGTGGACCTAGGAACGAAGGCTTTATTGTAACCAAGGCTCTGTAAAGCTAATTAATATCCAAAAAGACTAAAAGTTTGTTTTCTCCATATCACACATATACCTTGGAACCCCTCGATATGTGTACACCATCCACAATCCTGCCAACTAGAGCCTCATAATATACAGTGCATTTATAAAGTATTCCGGCCAAACTTCACTTTTTTCAGTTTTGTTATGTTGCAGGCTGATACTTCAGTAGTTTAAATTCATTTTTTCTCATTAATCTACACTCAGTATCCCATAATGACAAAGTGGAGGTTTAATTGAATTGTTTGCAAATATATGAAAAAGGAAAACCCGAAATATCACTTAACATAAATATTCAGACCCTATGCAACAAAACTTGAAATTTAGCTCAGGTGCCTCCACATTTCTCTTGATCATTGCTGAGATGTTTCTATACCTTGATTTGAGTTCACCTGTAGTAAATTAAATTGATTGGATGTGATTTGGAAAGGCAAACAACCTCTCTACAAAAGGCCGCACAGCTGGCAATGCATACTGTATCAGAGCAAAAGCTATGAGGTCAAAGGAACTTCCTGCAGAGCTCAGAGACAGGATTATTCTAAGACACAGATCTGGGGAAGGCTACAAAAAAAATTCTGATGAATTGAAGAGCAGAGTGGCCTCAATTCTCAAATAGAGAAAGTTTGGCACAACCAGAATTACACTAAGAGCTGGTCGCCTGGCCAGACTGAGCAATCGGGGGATAAGGTCCTTAGTAGGAGAGGTGACAAAGAACCCAATGGTCACTCTGACTAAGTTCCAGAGATCCTGTGTGGAGATGGGACAAAGTTCCACA